GTCGAAACTGTTTTATTCCTTATCTATCTCATGGACAAAATATACTTTTAGAATCAAAAAAATTAAGTAATAGTATAATTTAAGTTTTATTTATACAAGAGTAAATAAAGAGTGCGTAAAAAGAAATAATGATAAAAAAATATTCTTGAAGTAATATATTTATTTGAAAAGTGTATATATATGTTTATAAATAAATATTCATTTTGATGTATTATTCGTATATACATAAGTTTATATAAATATTTTTTAGATTAATTTATGAGGGTGCAGTTAAGAATGGCTTTATTATTATAAATCATAAATATTTGAATCGTTTAAATTTCAAATATTATACAATAAATATGCATTTATTATTATTGCGTTATAGATTGAGGATAAACTAGTAAAAAATATTGAAAACTAATATAATGGAATATTTTGCATCCTCTGCTTACAATTTGGAAAAATGTTTATGTTCATAATATACTTTCAATTGAATTAATTTATTTAAAAAATTGAAGGAAAAAACAGCTAGATCATTTTTTCTATCTTCTATTGTAATTATAAACATTTGTAGGTATTTCTTGATGTAACATGACAGTGGATGATGTTAAAATAATTTATTTTCATATGTTTCATAAATGTATATTTTATTGTATATTTTTGGTTTGACAAATAAAATTTCTTACATATTATTAATAAAAAGAATTGTTTAAATATGCTAGAGTTTTATTTATTTTAATCATAAAAATTAATAAACGAAATGAAGATTTTTATAAATAATTTCTTTGATACATCTTTTGATATTTCTATACGTTACATATATTGGATTGTTTCATAAATTTTTTGATTGTTACAGATGGTAGATATTTATTTATTAGTTAAATTATTTGTAAATTAAAAATTTCGCTAATATTTTTTATTATAGTATACAGGAAAATAGCATTAATTTGTAAGATTTTTTTATTTAAATATATTTATTTATACATATCATTGTTATAAACTATAAAGTATTTATGTAAGATAAATATCGACGATTTAAGATTTTTCAGATTATTAATCAATAACAGTTTGCTGTATATTTTGTAAAGTAAATATAATATAGACAAAGAAAACAAATAGAAAAAAGAAAGAAGATATAGAATAGAGATATAGAATAGATATAGACTGTCAATCTTTTTACTTTATTTTTATTTTTCTCCCACTATTTGCTCTTCTTGTCTATATTCAATCTTGGCGCATAAGTAGAGATCATGTACATGATGTTATTGGATACATTTTTTTCATGGTTTCTTTTTTAGAACTATTTACTAATGTGCTTTAATATAAATTTATCTTTCATAATGTATCTATGATATAAATTAGGATTAGACAGTTATATTGAATGTTGAAATATTGCCAATATACTACAATATACTATTTAAATTATTTACAAAAAATCTGTAATTAGATGTATTAAAGTGGAGATGTTATTAGATTTACACGTGATTTTATATTGCATGATATAATATGCAAAATTCTGTAATATATTCAAAACGACAATATGTCGTTTTTCGAAAAATTCTTGGATATTTATTTAAATGTAATTTAAAAAAACATGAGGTATTTAATGCCTTCTCTACAAATTATAATTTTCACAATCACATGAATAGGTTATGTTTCCCATTATCACATTCGGTAAATATATTTAAGTAATTTAATTTTATGTTATAAAATGATGAATTATGAGAAAACGTTTTTTTAGTTATGTGAAATAAAACATAAGGAATTATCCGAAATACAATCATTATTTTCAAAAAATGAGTATTTTAAAATTATTTTTCAAAATTGTGTAATAGAAGAAGTTTTAGTACAACTTCTAATAAAAATCAACGAACATCCAATGAATCTGCTGATGATTCTAGTAAAGATCCCAAAAAATCCAATGAATTTAATATGTTATTTTTCAAAATGTTAATCTTTTTAACTGCATTTTCAATATACTATGTTATGTTTTCTGGATTCGTTGAGAATGTTGTAAGTTCATAAATAAATTATTATCAATTAAAATAATTTGTAATTTGTATAATTACTTATTGGATTATTATTTTATGCCAGGTTGTAGTAATACATTGGAATGATTTTATAAATGAAGTGCTTTTAAAAGGTCAAGTTCAAGAAATTATGATTTATCCAAGTTATGTAGAAGCTACAATAAGAAGAGGTGCTACATATAAAGGAAGATATATTTTTAGACGTCTTCAATTCTATGATGTCCCTGACATAAAAAATATTGAAGAAAAAATTAGAGCATTAGAAAAACGCATTGGAATTAGAATGGGTATAACGAGAATATACTTTACTACTTTAATTTTAAGTATAATTTAATTTTAAATCATATAAAAATATATTGATTTATTAATTTTTAGAGGATGGCATTTCAATTAGATATATTCATATGAATGAGAGACTAGCTGTATCAGAATTATTTAAAACATTGTTAATATTTGCTATAATTTTTTTACCTTCTTTCATCCAATGATAAGAAAGAAATTTAATAATTTTACTTCTATAAATAAGGCAAAATATACATTAGTGGAACCTTTTTCTGGTAAAGGTGTTCGTTTTAAAGATGTAGCTGGTTTAAAAGAAGCCAAAATAGAAGTAATGGAATTTGTTGATTACCTTAAAAATCCTGAAAGATATACAAAACTTGGTGCTAAAGTACCAAAAGGTATTTAGAATTCTTATAATTTAAAAATCTATAATTCCTTTTAAATATGTTACAATTTAATTAATTTATCTCTAGGAGCTTTACTCTTAGGACCACCAGGTTGTGGTAAAACACTTTTAGCTAAAGCTGTTGCAACTGAATCAAATGTTCCATTTCTATCAATGAATGGATCTGAATTTACTGAATTAATAGGTGGATTAGGTGCAGCACGTGTCAGGGATTTATTTACAGAAGCAAAAAAAAGGTTTTATTATTATTATTGTTATCATTGGAAGAAACAATAATTATTATTACTATAATATGAAAACTAATTTTTCATATTATTTGTTTTTGAAGAGCTCCTAGTATTATTTACATAGATGAAATTGATGCAATAGGCAAAAAACGATCAGATTCATTCAGTGAATTTACTAATCCTGAATCAGAGAGAACACTAAATCAACTTTTAGTAGAAATGGATGGAATGATAGCAGCAAAGGATATTATTATTTTGGCTTCAACAAATAGAGCAGAAGTTTTAGATAAAGCTTTATTAAGATGTGGTAGATTTGATAGACATATTTTAATTGATCTTCCTACTTTAGAAGAGAGAGGACAAATTTTTGAATATCATCTTCAGTCATTATCATTGGAAGACAAACCAATAAAATATTCTAAATATTTAGCTCATCTTACTCCTGGTTTTAGCGGTATGTACAATTATTGAATTATTTAAATTATTTTAATTTTTTTGTTTTGAACAATATTTCTTTTCTTTCAGGAGCTGAAATAGCAAATGTTTGTAATGAAGCTGCATTGCATGCAGCAAGTGAAAAAAAGATTAAAGTTGACAATAATGACCTCATGTATGCAATTGATAAAATATTAGGTGGCTCAATAAAAAAATCTAGTACATTAACACCTTCTGAGAAAAAAGTTATTGTTTATCATGAAGCCGGTCATGCATTAACGGCATGGTTATTGGAACGTGCAAATCCTTTAATTAAAATAACTGTAGTACCAAGAACAAATAAACGTTTGGGTTTTTCTCAATTTTCCGATTCAAATCTGAAACTTCAAAGTTCAGAACATATTTTTGAACGTATGTGTGTATTATTAGGTGGTAGAGTTGCTGAAAGTATAATGTTTAATAAAATTTCAACTGGTGCACAAAATGATTTAGAAAAAGTAACGGAAATGGCATATTGTCAAGTTCAACAATTTGGAATGAGTCCTAATGTGGGTTTAGTTCTTTTGATAGAGAATTAACAACTATGGTACAAGATATAAATATATTTAATATTTTTAAAATACTAATATATTATTAATTAATATTTTTTATTTAATTTATTTTTTAATTTTAGAGAACTAAAAAACCATATAGTAAAAAGTTAGGAAGTTTAATGGATGCGGAGGTACGAAGAATAATAATCGAAGCATATAAAACGACTGAAAAATTATTACAAGATAATAAAGATAAACTGATAACAGTACGTATGATTATTAATAAATATATTAAATAAAATAATAAATCAAAAAAATATCTAATAAATCATTATCTAATAAATTTTTTTATCTTACATATAGTTAGCTGAAACTCTTTTAAAAAAAGAAACTTTGACATATAAAGATATAGAAGCATTAATTGGACCTCCACCTTTTGGAAAGAAAGATCTTGCAGAATTGCAAGAATATGAGCAATATAATCCAGGCACACAATAGATAAACATTAGTGATCTTTTTAAAAGATATCTATATAATTATTAACTAATATTATTAACTAGTTAGTAGAAGAAATATTTTTATTATATAATTAATATATAATATAATTATTTTATATTATATTATATTATATTATATTATATTATATTATATTATATTATATTATCTTATATTATATTATATTATATTAATTATATTATATTATATTATAATATTAATTATTTGTAATAATATCTTCATAAATGAAAAATAAGTTTTTCAAAGGATAAGAAAGAAAACACAATTTAGTAAAAAAAACTATTTATATATTTTGAAAAAATTAAAATACAAATCAATTGTATAGTATAAAAAATAATAATTTAAAATCTTTCATTGTGTATAAAAAAATATATATTTGTATATTGTATATTGCGCAATATAAATATATTAATATATTCATTCAAAAAGTATGTAAAATAAAAATTACTAATTATATATTATAATAAACAATTTTTTGTTTAAACTTATTTGTGAAATTATTAATTAGTTATTATCAAATCCAATTTTGATTTATTATGTGTATTCATGTGAATGGTATTCACGTACATAAATTAAAGATTCGTGTTTCGTATTTAAATACATGCATACATATAATGAATGAAATCGAATTTTAAAATCTGTATAATTTTTAGCTATACTTGTGTATTTCTATTATAAGGGTATTGCACATACATATTTATATATCAATTTTATATACATTTTTATATTTTTATTTTAAAAAACAAAGTAATTATTTAAATTAATCAGATATTAGAGCCGCTTTTTAAGTATATATATTTTATGGACAATATAAACAAAGAGTGTTTTCGATGCACAATCACAAGTGATACACAATATTAGAAATATTTTTACATAATTTAACCGTTTTTTTTCAAAACTATAATATTTATACAAAATCTTTATTTATTTAATTAATTTTTATTTATCAGAAATATATTTGCCCAATGTCTCTTTTGTTGAAAATAAAATAAAATAAATATTTAAAAAGAAATATATAGGAATAGAAGGAATAGACAGGCATACTTTTATTATACTTTTTTTGTTTACAATATGTTTTTTATAACTAATGGAAAGTAGTATAAAGTATATTTTTATAAGATATATAAAATATTATTTTTAATATCTGAACAAAGTTTATATACAAAATTCTGCAGATTATAATATGAATATTAACCCTTTCGCTACTACGGGCAATTATAGTCGCTCTGCATAAGATGCCGCGTATCGTACAGTATGACGAGCGATTGGAGTTATTGCACATCGAGTATTTTTCTTTGGAAATGTAACATCAATATTTTATTTTTATTATTAATTTTTTTTCAAATTTTTAAATACCGTCAAAGCAATTCGAATTGTAAAGCGTAAACACAGTCGCTGACGATCTTTCTCGAGCACTGTGCACATACAGCGGACAAGTCGCTCACAGCGAAAGGGTTTATTAATAATCAAAACAAATTTTTCTAAGATATTAAATATCTTAAAATAGGATATAATAATTTAAACATGTCTTCATTATTTAATTCTTCATTTCCTTAAAATCAATGTAGTAGGCATAAGAATGTCCTTAATAGAATTCTTAAGAGTACGTTCTAAATGTGTTCCATTCCAATAAATCTTTCCACATCGATCACAAATATAAAAAAATCGTACATTCTGTAACACTTTCATTGGTACTTGATCAATTTGTATTCTTGCCTGATATTTCGTCGAACATGTACTGACATTCACAGAACATATTACGTTAAGTATCCATGGACGATCATCATTATTGTGTTTCAAATCACTATTGTGTTCCAAATCATTATTCTCTGCATTTGTTGTTAAATACGAATATGTATCATCATGATACGATGGATTTGAAGAAATGTTGTAATTATTTTTACCAGTTAGTTCAGCATAACTGAAAAATTAAAGAAAAATACATTAATGTTACTTTTATATTTAACGAATAGTTTTATATAAAAAAGATTATCTAAATAACCTTTTCGAAAGTTCATACATTAATGAATTTCGAACTTTTGAAAATTCATTACTGTTACAAGCTTGACATCGACTAAATATATCATTATGCGTAACCGCAATTTTGAAGTGATTTAATACCTCTCTTAATTGTTCATCAGGAGTATCAGACAATACAAAATAGCAATCTTCAGATGGTATGTATTGTAAAAACTATATAAATAAAATAAAAAACTATATATTATATTAAAATAATAATTAATAATAATATTATTATTTAGATTAATTAAAACTATGAACTTACTTTTAAATATCCTTTATTACGAGTTAAAAACACTCTTTTTTCACGCATTGCTAATTTAACACATCGTTCTCCACCCTGATCAAATGCAAAATGAACACAATCGCATCCACACATTCGCAATTTGTTTGTTAATCCACCTAACATTGAATCACAAACTACACGCCATGTGTGTATCTTTTTATATATAAACTTTTCAATATCCAGAGACTTATTGTTTACATGATATTCTGTTTGTTTTGTATAATGACATGTTGATTTATTTATATTATGTGATTCATTTAAATTCATGGTCCTCATTGATAATGTTGATTGTATTGATTTGTTAGAAATATGATGATTTTGACAATTTAGTTTCCTAAAATTTCTTAATTTTTCTGTTGGTAAATCTTTTTGAAAATTTTGTTGTTTATCATATCTTTTGTTCTTACCTAAGTGGGACTTAAAAATAAATGTTTAAAAACTATATATTTTAATAAATTGTAAATATTCTACACAATTATTTGTGACTTATAGAAAAATTTACTTTTTGTGTTAATCTTCTTATATTTTTTTGTGATGATGATTTAAATGGAATATGTTGCAGTTCTAAACAAGCATCATAAAATGGTATCTCCAAATGTTCACATTGAATTTCTAATGTCGCATATATTTCTAACAAACAGTATGCATCTAATGCTATAATGTTATAATATATAATTATGTTTAAATATTATGTAAACATATATTGTCATAATAATAAAAAAAAATTAAATTTATAAAAGAATAACTAACCAGCATATATTATTTGACTTTCTCTTAATGGCCTTTGCTCCCAATTAGAAAATTGATCAGATTTATTTAGTTTTTGTCCAAGACAAAGTTCTACAAGCTTACTCAAATTTTTTTTAGTAAATTGATCATCACTTTCATGTGGGAAAACAAATTTATAATCTTCTACCAATTTTTTCCATAAATTTACAATATCTAAATATCCTTGTCCATATATTTTTATTTTCGATAATGCAGGCAAACTACTACGTATAACAGTCATATCTTGAGCTATTCCAAAACCTAGGTCATAAATTTATAAAAAAAATATAAATATAAATAGAATATAATTTTTAAATTAATTTTAATTTTCATATTATCTAATTTCATATCTTTATAAGATAAAAATTTTATAATTATGAAAATTTTACCAAGTTTTAAAATACTTTTGTTTTCAAATAAAACTAAGGCTAATTTTGCCCATAATTCTGTAAACTTATTTCCCATTGTAGTTACATCTATAATGTACACATTATCTTTGGTAGCTATTTGTATTAAAGCTAATTCTGTTTGTTTTGTACCTAATAATGATAATAATTATTTTTTTATATTACAGCATAAATTTTTTTAATGATTTTTTAATGATTTAAAATATTCAAATACCAAAACAAGGTTTCCATTCTGAATCAATACCAACAATAGAGATGCCATCTAATCCTTTGTCAAGAAATTCTTCAAAACTATAAGGATTATTTATTATTTTAATAGAATCTCTTGATAGTTTTAATTCATAATAATTCATAAGATCATTGTCATCTTCCCAACCATTTATTTTGCTAGTCGAAGCTCCTTCATTTATACCTACATAATAAAATATTGTAAATAAAAACAATTTTGTTAATTTTATGAATAATAATAAATAATAATGAAAAATAATTATTTATAATATTACTTTCAGATTCATTTTGTTCTTCTTCATATGAAAGTATCCATGGCCATTTTTCTCTAGGTATATTAAATTTTTTAGCCCAATATAAAGCTTCACTTGAATCTTTGGTATTAAGTAACATTTTTATCATAGTTAATTGTAATGTGCCATCATCCTTTACTGCATCTTGTACCATTTCTCTCCAACTATCAGTACCTTAATTTAACAATAATTATTATTTTATTCATTATTGCATATATGATACTATTACTATTTAAAAAATTTACATACTTAAACTGTATTCTTTATAACGTTTATGTATAAGATATTGTAAAACACCTTCACATCTTTTTTTATTCAAATTAATACAAAGTTCTGATGGAAGATTATACAATTTGACAAAACGTGCTATTAATTTACCCATAGATTTTGTATTTGTGATTGACATCTTTATATCTGGTATTTTATTTTTTCTATAATATATTAAAAATATTATTATACTTAAAATCTTTTCTTTAATAAATTATTAGAACTTACATAATTATTTCATTTAGCAAGTTATGCATACTATTATCAGGTCTAATTAAATTATCCAAATACAAGACTAAAGCCTCCTGTAAACGAGGACAATCAGTTAAAAATTCTTCTACAACTGTTAATTTGTTCTGTAAAATAAGTGGTAATATTAAAGATTCTGGATCTGAAAAAGATTCTTGTAATTTTAGTATAACCGCATATTGTGCTGCCTCTTTGTATTTCTTTTCTTGTATCATTTTCTGTAAAAATATATATTTTGTTATGCAATAATCTAAAATTCGAAAATTACAATATATATTTAAATTAGAATAATACCTGTATCATATGAAGAAATTCTTCTTTATGTTCTACAAACTTATATGTACTTGCAACAATTTTAGTAAATTCCATATTATGTTGTTTAATAATTAATTGAAATGTTGCTAATTTTAAATCTAGAACTAGGAACTGTTCATACATTTCTTTTCTTGATTTTATCCATTCTGCATATTCTTCTATAACTATAATAAA